GGCGTCGTTCGCTGGGCAGCCCGCGGGCAGCGCGCCGCGCCGCGCGGCAGTCCTGCCGCCGCTGGGTGGCGGCGGGCGCGTGCAGAAACGTGTACATGCACGGCTGCGTGGACAAGGAACAAAAAGAAATCTAGAGAGAGAGAGAGAGAGAGAAAAAAAAAAAATAGAGAGAGAGAGAGAGAGAAAACCAAACAAAGACTGACAGACAGGCAAACCGACAGACATGTAAACAGACAGACGGACAGACAAGCAGGCAGGCGGACATACAGACAGACAGGCAGGCAGACAGACAAACAGTCATGCAAACAGGCAGATTGACAACTGGCAGGCAGACAGACAAACAGACAGACTGACTGACTGACGGACGGGCAGACAAACAGGCATACGAACAGACAGGATGATGAAAAAAGAGGAGGAAGAAAAGACAATCAGACAGAGAGGCAAGGATATATACATATAAACATACATAAATATACATATATATTTATATAGATGGAGAGAGGGAGAGACATACAGACAGAAAGAAAGAGAGGGAGAGACAGGGAGAGAAAGAAATGGAGAGAGAGAGAGAGAGGGAGGGGAGAGAGACGATCGAGAGAGAGAGAGAGAGAAAACAAATGTTAGAGACATGTACGTACGGAGATAACGGGGGGAGAAAGCGAGGGGGAGGGGGAGAAAAAAGGAGAGAAAGACTGGCAGACAGAGTGAAGGAGGGAAAGGGGGAAAGAGAAACAGAGAGAGAGAGAGAGAGAGGAAGCGAGGGGGAGAGAAAGAACATGAGAGAGGAGAAAAGATAAGAGAGAGAGAGAGAGAAAGAAAAAAAAGAAGGAGAGACAACTAAAGAGAGAGAGAGAGAGAGAGAGAGGAAGGGGAGAGAAAGAGAGAAAGGAAGGGGGAGAAAGAGAGAGAGAGGGAAACAACAAAGGAAAAAACAGAGAGAGAGGCACAGAAAGGGAAAAGGAAAGAGGGAGGCAGAGAGAGGGAGAGAAAGAGAGAGATGGAGAGATAACAAAAAAAAAAAGAGAGAGAGAGAGAGAGGGAGAGAAAGAGAGAGCGAGAGAGAGAGAGAGGAACAAAACAAATAACAGAGACCCAGACAGAGACAGCGCGAGAGAGAGAGAGAGAGACAGGAACGGAGATAGAGAGAGAGAGATCGGACGAGCAAACGGGCGTCCCGTCGTAGCCGGCTGCTGCGGTAGCCAAGGCCACCAATGCACGCTTAGCGGTGGTGCCCACCTTGGGGTACGGGGGACGTAGAAACAACACCACCACCCCGCGCAAAGCGACTAAGGTAAAAGGCGGGGTGCTGAGCAGGCAATGCGCCACGTCTCTCGGCGCCCCGCGGTGGAAGGGCCCAGAACCAAGCCCTGGTTGGCGGCCAGGGGACAAGGGCTCGGCCGCCAAGCGGCCTGCGGAACGGGGCGCCCCCTGTTCCCGCAGCCAAGCACCGATGACGCGTGGCCACGCGGTGAACCGGGCTGGCGTGAGGGGGGGGGCCGAGGCCAGGTACGGGGCCCTATGCGGGCTCGCACGACCCTGAGCAGGTCTTGCAACGAGGGTGCCGCTCCATCAGGTGACATGCTGGCAGAGAGAGACGCGAAGGTATCGCGGGCTCGGTGGGGGCGCTGCACGGGCAGGCGATGTTGGGAAGTGAGGGTGCGGACTTGGTGGGCGAGATTGGGGCATTGGTGGCAAAGTCGGTCGTAGGACGCCTGTAGCTCCGCGCTCCGCGGCACGGCCGTGGGCCGAGTTGGGAGCGTGGCGCGGTCGTCCAGTGTCAATTGTATTTGCGGAGTGGGCGGCGAGGTCGGCGCGGCGGTCGGCGCCTCGCGCGGGCACGGGCTCCGCCGCGAGGCCGCCGTGGGGAGACGCCGTAGGTCCCAGCAGTCCTGTGGAGGGCGCGTGGTTCACTTCGGGGGTCACCTGCGACTCCGCCTGGGCCTTGGGGGCGGTGGCTGGGTCAGGGGCGCGCGCAGATCGGGGTGAGAGGTCACCCGCTGGGCACGGAGCCGAGCCCGGCGTACGGGCGCGGGCGGATGTCAGGTGGGAGGCGGCGTCCCTGTCACGCGTTGGGCATGTGCAGTATTGGGCCCGCTTGGCCGGCCGCTCTATGCCTCCTGCTTGGGACACTGTTTTCGACACTTTGGATGGTGTTTTGCTCGGTCCCAGGCGCACGCGTGAGTCTGACCTTTGGGGGCTCTGGAGAAGCCCGCGGCCTGGCCGAGAGACAGAGAAAGAGACAGACAGACAGACAGACAGACAGACAGACAGACAGACAGACAGACAGACAGACAGACAGACAGACAGACAGACAGACAGACAGATAGGGAGGAAGAGAGAAAGGAAGAGAGCGAGGGAGAGACACAAATAAATAAGTAAACAAACAACCCAAAACAAACAGAGAAAGAGAGAGGCATAGAGAAGCACTATATATATGCTTACATACTATATATATATATATATATATATATATATATATATATATATACATATATACATGTACCCCCTGCCGCCTGGCCGTGCCATGCGCGAAGCGCGAGCTATACAGGGGCAGGCGCTCCGTTTTCTCTGGAGAGGCAGCGACGCGCCACAAGCCGAGCCAGATAAAACCATGATTAAATCGAGATTTAGTTCGAACTCGCCAACTGCAGGCTGAGTGTGCAGAAGAAGAGAGAGAGAGAGAGAGAGAGAGAGAGAGAGAGAGAGAGAGAGAGAGAGAGAGAGAGAAGAAAAAAAAAAAAAAAAAAAAAAGAGGGAGGGAGGGAGGGAGACTTGAGCAAAGGTGGCCATCGGACACGATGGACGGCAACGGGACCGACGGCGAGGATTCAAACACGTGTGGAACACTGAACTGTATCCCCTGCCGTCTGGCCGTGCCATGCGCGAAGCGCCAGCTATACAGGGGCAGGCGCTCCGTTTTCTCTGGAGACGCAGCGACACGCCACATGCCGAGCCAGATAAAACCATGATTAAATCGAGATTTAGTTCGAAATCGCCAAAACAGACATTTGCCCAAAACAGTCGAATGGCCGAAGGCCGTAATAATGCATTTACACTCGAGACATAACATTCTGCATAGCCGACGCTCTCCGGCAGACGACGGCATCATCGAAGAGGAGCGCCAGCCGTCGACACAAGGGCGAGGGGTAAGCTTCGGCGACAGCCGTCCAGAAACGACCGTCGGGAGCCCGACCTTCGAGGACCTGGTGGGGGCGACCGCTCCGGCTACAGCACCCTTGCACACGCTTGCATACTTTAACAAGTGGAGAGAGATCGAGGTGGGCGGCCAAGAAAGACGTGCGCTTCCGCCAAGGCGCGCCCCAATGGCAAAAATCCGCGCTGGCAAACGTCCAGGCCCTGGAACGGATGAGAGACGCGACTGCGGGAGCAAGCCAGATCCGCGAGGTGCTCGGGTTCTCCATAGAGCAAGGCACCTGCATGCGCTTCGCCACTAGGAGAAGCGACACCGAAAATCCCATCATCTGATTTCCAAAATCCACTGCAGACTGAGAGGAAGCACTCAAATCAGGCAGACCGAGCACGTCCGTATCAGAGCGAAGGCGCGGGGGGCCTGGCTGAATATCGCGGGCCCTCGACCAGCTCCCACACGGAGTGCCGAGATGCAACCCGAGAACGAGACCCCCCAGGATCCAGCCGCGCACAAGGCGGCGCTTGGCGGGGCCCCTCAGATCGCACTCAGCCCCACGACGGATGTCCCAGGCCAAGACGCGGTAGCCGCGTCGACTCACGGCACGGCTGAGACGCCCCGAGCCCGAGAAGACCTCCAAGAACACCCGCGCCTTCAGCAGGCCTGGAACGGCGGGGCAGCGAGCCTCCCTAAGAGCACCTCGGGGAGCACGCTGTGGCACCGCAGGGCGTGCCTTTGGAGCGGTCCTGGGAGGCGGGCGAACTGCTCGCTGAGACGCCCGCCCTTCTCGTAGCGCCGCACCGACGCGTCGGTCTTCCACCGGCCCCTCCTCTTCACCTCGCGGAGCGGCCGCAGCTGGTTCACGAAGTCCCTGCTGGCACCCGCGTGGCGGAGCAGGTACGGCACGGGGTCGGGCGTGACCCCCAGGCGCCGCGCTGCCCGCCTGAACAGCGTCGCGAACTCCGCGACTGCGATGCGGAAGAGCGGCTCGTCCCCGCTGCGGCCGGCCACCAGGCGATGGAACACCCCCGACAGCCACTGGTCGCAGTCGAGGTCGAGGACCAGGCTCTCCTCGAACTCCGCGGTCTTGCTGGCCTTCGCCTCCTCGCCCTCGCACGGGCGAAGCAGCAACGCCCAGCGCCGAGCGCAAGGCTGCCGGCAGCGCGCGGCGGGGCGGCGTGGCGCACCAGCACCCGCCCCCACTCGCCGGGCCCCATGTAGAACACCATGGACAGCACCGCGCATGCAGCCGCCTCCCACTGGCCCACGAGGACCAGCTCGCACGTGATGGCCGCCACCAACTCCTCGGGGAGCGGCAGCCTCGCCCGCGGAGGCGTCAGCACCTTCCAGCCCCGCAGCGTCTGGCGCGCCGCCGGCAGCGAGGCCGACCCGTCGCGGCCGAGCCGCGGGTCGCTCCACTGCAGCGCCGCCAGCATCTGCACCCCGCGCCAGTGGTCGACTCCCTCGAGGTACTGCGACGGCATCCACTCGGCGAGCGCCAAGTCGATCCTCTCGACGTCCGAGGCCGAGAGCGGCCCCACCTCGCCGTGGTCGACCGAGAAGCGAGACCGGCGCGGAAGGCCCTGCTCGTCCATCCACTCGTCGAACTCGTCGTCGAACTGCTGGTAGCGGGTCCTGGCGGTCCGGGTGCGAACAGTGCTCCTTCTCAACATATCCCGCGAGCCCTCCTCGGTGAGCTTCGCGAGCCGCCGAGCCAGCTTCCGCCGCTTCACGCCCTGCGAGGTCGCCAGGCCCGTCGAGCCCGAGGGCGGCAGGGAGCAACCCGAGCCCACCGGGCCCATCTCGCCCAGCAGGCGGCGGAGGCGCGGCGCCGTCGCAGCCGGCGGACTCGTCAGGGCCCTCGTCCGCGGCAGCGCGCTGGCATCGACCGCCTCCGTCCGAGGTCGCCTCCGCGTCAGCGCCGCCGCCTCCTCCACGGGCATATCCAGCATGCCGGAGGCCTCGCGACGGACCGTATGCGAAGTTCCACTCGCTGGGCAGCCACCGGGCGGCGAGGCGGAGGCCTGTTGCCGCGACATGGGCAGCGACTGCGCGGAGGGCCCCGCAGACTCCTGGCGCCGAAGAGCGCCCCTTGCTCAAAGCCAAGACGGACGACAGCGAGTCCGAGAGGAGGAAGTGGTGGCGCCCAAACGACGCTGTTGAACGGCAGATGTGCTTAACCCCGAACGCGAGCGCCCGGGCCTCCCCCTCAACGATGTTGTCGGGCGGGCCCCCCCACATGTGCGAGCCCACGACAGCCCAACCCTCTTCCCGAAACTCTGCAGGCAGGCGACTGACAGCCGACTGGCGGGCGTTGATGCAGGCCTCCTCCGAGCCCACGATGTCCTGGAACTCCTTGGAGCTCTCGAGAGGCCCCTCGCCGACTCCAGCCCAAGCCCTTGACTGCACATTGCTGCCCTCCAGGAAACGCCACCTCTCCGAGAAACCGCCCACGGAGCCCACGAGGTCCTCATTGAAGCCCTTGCTGACCAGCCCGAAGCCCCAGAACGACGCGTCACCGCGCATCACCGTCGGACTCCAGGCAACCAACATACTTCGCGAGATCATCCCCAGAAGGCTCGAGAAGGTGTTCAGCCCCCAGCGAACTGACTCCCAGAGGGGTACTGCGGTACAGTGGCGCAGCCTCCGCACGAACGAGTACACCGAATTGAAGATGGACAAGTGCTCTCGACATAGTAAGGCGACAAACGTGCAATGGCCCAACACTGGTTCGACGTCTCTCGGGTCCACGGCATTGCGACTGACCAGACAGTCGAGCGCCAACCGAAGTCGCCACAGCCTTGATCTCTTGGGTCGGATTTCGCACTCTCTTCCCCGGATCTCCCAGCCCAGAATGTCAGCATTGTGATCGCACATGCGCACCTCATGAGTGGGGAGACCCTTCTGTGTCAAGGCCGCGTTGACTAAAGTGACGGCACGCCGCACCGACTCGGGATCGGTGCCCAAAGCCAACAAATGTCAACGTATATAGTCATTGCCAGCGGCTGCACCCCCGGCACGACACTCTTGTCGGAGATGAACGGCAGTCTCTCAGCTCGGGAATCGAGCTGACAATGGAACGGTGGATGGTCTGGCACCAGTACAAAGCGTGCGACCAGCCCATCGGGAGCACGGCCAGCACCGGCCAGACGCGGCTCCCCGGCTGGAGCGGCCGCCCACGAAGCCGCACCATCCCCACGTCCCCGGCCTTCACGGACGGCAGGGCGAAGTAATCCCGAAAAGCTTCGGGCAGGCCGAAGTGGTAAAAAGCGTCGCAGGTGCCCACGTGGCCGACGTAGAGCCCCTTGCCCTCAGGCACGGCCAGCTCGCCCAGAGACGAACCGGCGGCAAGAGCTACTGAGGCTGGCCGTCGAAACAAACAGTTGGCCCGTCGGCAGTCGACCACCATGCGCTGCTTGCCTGACTTCTTGCGGACGAAGAAAAGGCCGCACCTCTCGCGGGGGGTGTCCGTGTAGGTCACCATCCCGGCGTCGGCGAGCCGCTTGACCAAGCGGGAGTAGACCCTCGGATCACCTCTCAAGATCGTGTCCATATACGGCTGCCTCGGAGCTGCCAGAAGACCAGATTCTGCCTCCTCAGTTCGAAGAAGCTGCTCGTGCATTGAGGCCTCGACATCGAAATCGCCCACGTCCTGGAGCAGCTGCCCGAGCGGCACTGGGGCGTTGCCGGCCCCCGGCAGCGAGACGAGGGAATCGTCGAAGCTGACCGCCGGCGAGTCGAGGTCTTCGTGCACGCCGGCGCCGCGGAGCTCTCTGAGGGCTCCCGCGGGAGTGAGGTCGGGTGGCGGCGGGCCCAGCTCGACTGCAGCGCGGCGGACGCGCTCGCGCACCAGCCGATGGGGAAGTCGCTCCGCCAGGCCCGGGGCGCCGGGCGCCTGGGGCCTCCCGGCCAGGTCATTGAGGGCCCCGATGACGCGGTTGCACTCCTGCACGACGGCGTCTCGCCGCAGCAGCCGCCGCCGCACGCTGCGGCACGCCGCGCCCTCCGCGGGCGCCTGGCGGTCCACGCGCAGGAGGGGGGCAGGAAAAAGGCCCCGACGATCAGCTGCAAAATCGGGTTGAATTCGCCCAGGCATGGATAAAGGAGCATCCTCCATCCTGGCGGCCTCGAGGTCCAGGGAGGAGGCGGCCGCCTGAAGACCTCCCCCCTGCTGCTGCATCATCCCTTGCCTCCGCCGCCCTCCCCTGCCTTGGGGCCCTTGCGGCGGAGTTATCGTTCCTCTCTTGCCTTCCGAATGTTCTTCATGATGGCGGCGTCCTTCTCGACCTGCGTCTTGACGTACTCCAGCAGCTGTGGGGCAACCATGAGGAGGTCGCCTGCCTTGCTGAAGCCGCTGAACGCTGCAAACTCCTCAGGGCTCATCTTGTCCTTCGAACTCGAGGAGTCCGCCTCGCGCAGCCGATCGTGGTACGCCCACTCGATGGTCTGCGCCCGGCGGAGGATCGCCTCCGCAAAGGCGCAGTTGCTGAGGTCGAGCTGGTCGTAGGTGCCGGCCAGCTCGAGGTACTTCATGAGCTGCTCATGCTCCTGAACGCCCCATTGCTCCGTCTGGAGGCGGGCCGTCGTCTTGAACATCAGGTGGTGGTCCGTCGGAGTGTGGCGCCGCCGAAGGAACTCGAGGCACCGCGAAGTCGACCTTGGACCTGCCACGGGGAAGCCGCCGAACGGCTCCTCCTCGCACGAGTCCACCACGTCGCGCCACTCGCGCCCGCGACCGCGCGCCCCCGCCCTCACCGGGAGGGCGCGGGCGTCGCCCGTCGCGGCCGCGCCGCCGACGGGGGCCTCGCCGGAGGAGGCGGCGGGCCTGAGAGAGGCCACGAAGGCGTCCTTGTCAAGGGCGGTGAGGTGCACCACGATGGCCCGCCCCGGCGCCACTTCGAACAGCCCGCGCTCGTGCAAGGCCAGACTCGGAGTTCCGACCCAGTCGCCGACCTCGATCGGCCGCGAGCTGTCGGGCTCCGCGGCGCGCCAGAAGTGACCAGGCGGAGGCGGAGTCACGGCGCCGCCCACGGAGGTGGGCACCGCGGGGTCGGCGAGGGCGTCGCCGTCGTCCTCCTCCTGGTCGCCCGGCACGCTCGTCCCGTCCGCCAGCGCGCCCCCAGCGGCAGGCACACCCTGCTTGCCGGTCACGCGACGTCCGCCGAAGAAATTGCGGCCGAACGCATCCTCCACCGTGACGTCGCGGCCCTGCTGGGTGCGGATCATCTGCGGCACCGGCAGCTGCAGCCCGCGAGCCCGAGCGTCAGCCGTCGAAGCCGCATACGCCCGGCGATAGAGGGCCCGCAGCTCCCCGGGCTGGTCCTCCCCAAAGCGGCAAGGCCGGCCCAGCCCGGGCGGCAGCCGCAGGTCTCGCGCCACGATCTGCCACTCCACGGGGCTGTCGTCCGGCGAGCCACCCTCCAGCTCCTCGATGTACACGTCGCCGTCCGGGGTCAGGACGACCCAGCACGCCCCTCCCTCAACGTCCGAAGCGGCCGGGTAGAGCAGGATCCGCTCGTGCCAGAAGTCGTCCTCGGCGTAGCGGACCATCACCCGGCAGCCCGGGATCAGCCTCGCCGAGGGTGCCGCCGACGAGCGGGGACCGCGCAGCTGCACCAGCGCCATCGCCCTCAGAGCTCGCCGACCAGACGCGCGTCAGCAGGCTCCCGAGCACGAGCCCCAGCACCAGCGCCGCCACGCAGAGCCAGCCGGCGTCGTGGCAGACCGTGCTCTGCTCCGCCACCTCGCGCACCGCGGCGGCCAGCGCGTCGCACTGCGGCACGGCCTCGGACGCGCCCACCCAGGCGGGCTCGCCGCCTCCGCCGCCCGGCGCGCCGGGCCCGTCAGGCGCCTTCCCACAGGCGCAGTGGCACCCCGGGCAGGCGGGGCACGGAGGCGCGGCCGGGCAGAGCGGGCACGGCGGCACCGAAGGGCAGCTCGGCAGGAGCGCCCACGAGGCCCCTGCGTGCAGGCCCGCGCGGGCCAGCTCTCGGGCGCCCGCGACCCCCGCGTCGACTAGGGGGCGGAGGGCGTCCTTCATCACCTGGAAAAAGACTTGCGCAAAGGTGGCCATCGGACACGACGGACGGCAACGGGACCGACGGCGAGGATTCAAACACGTGTGGAACACTGAACGAGACAGAGGGAGAGGAGAGAAAGAGAGAGAGAGAGAGGGAGACACATATATATATATATATATATATATATATATAGAGAGAGAAGGAGACAGCGGACCAGCTGGACGACGAGTCGTCTGGTCGCCAGACGGCAAGCAGCTGGCGCACACGCCTCACTGGCTGGAGGACGTCAGCATGGCGCAAGCCTACACACGTCATGTGCGAAGGCAGCGGGGAGACGTCGGGAGGGAGGGGGGCGAGGACTCCTCCCAGGTGAGCAAGTGGTGTACTGCGAAGCTGCCCCGCATACGTCCGAGTCTCACCTGCAAGGTAAAGCGAAGCCTGCACCCATCGTTGGTATGGCGGTGCCTCGCCGGCAGTGGCGGCATCCTTCCAGCACCCCCTCAGGACCCGCGGTGGGGGGAGGACCCCGTGGACGCTTGCCAGGCGGCGCACGGGCCTCGGGGAAAAGTTTAGCTGTGGGCGCCCCTGGCGGGGGGCAGGTGATCCGAGGCGGGCTGGACGCGCCCGAGTGCTCGCGCGAGCTGCGCCAGACCCGTGGCGTCGGCAGGCTGGGCCGACGGGGCGGCCTGATGCAGTCCCGTGCTGCTGCTGGTCACTGTCGTAATGCCGGGGCCCATCGGCTGGGCGCTGCGGTCAGGAAAAGGCTGAGCCGTCTCCAACACGCCGCGGGTGGAGCGCTGACAGGGGGCCCCTGTGGGCGCTGGTGGGGCCACCAAGGGCGCTGCTGGGATCGTCGAGTGTGGTGTGCTCCCGGCCGTTCGCAGCAGTCGCGGTGGGACAGAGCGTCTGGGCCCTGGGGCCCCCGTGAGGAGGCTGCGTCGGGGCCTCTTCGCGGGACGGGGGGCTGGCGGAAGGGGGCCGCGCCTGAGGCGGACCGCTGCCGCCGAGAGGAGTCGCACGACGCGGCCCCTCGCCGCTCGGGCCACTGGGCGCGAGGTGATGGGGGTCAGTGCGGAGGTCCGTGGACCCGCCGAGGTCGACGAGGTCGCGGCCGCCCTCGGGCCCCTGGGCTGGGGTCGCCTGCGGCGGGAGGCGGCGTCGGCCATCGGCAGCACTGCGCATGCGTCCGAACTGGCGAAGGAGCAGCGCGGAGCGCTGTGGTGGAGGCTGTACCTCGGCAGCCGCGGCATTGACCTGCAGAAGTGCTCGGATGGCCGCCCCTGTCTGATCGGCGGCGCGCGGGGGGATGGTCTTTGAGCCAGTGGCTGTGGAGCTCTGGCCGGCGCCGAGGTGGCTCCCGTCGGGCTGTGGTGGTTGGGGCATGTGGTGCCTGACTCCGAGCGGCTGCTCAGAATCCCGTCGCTCACCCCTGTGCTGTTACTGCCGCCTGTCGCGAGGCTGGGGCTGAGTCGTCTCCGACGCGCAGTGTGTCGAGCGCTGTGCTGGGTCTCCGTGGGCGCTGGCGGGGCCTCCAAGGGCGCTGCTGGAACCGTCGAGCGCGGCATTTTCACGGCCGCTCGCAGCGGGCGCGGCGGGGCAGAGCGCCTGGGACCTGGGGTCGCCCGGCTGCCTGGGCGGCGCGGCGCACTGAGGAAAGGGCTACGTACAGGAGCAGCAGCATCGCCATCGGGAAGAGCGATGCGGCATGCCTCCGTGGTGGCGGGGAGCTCGCGCCGAGGGCTGGTCCTCGGAGCTCGCGAGGAGTGCGCCTCGGAGCTCGCAGAAGGTGCGGCCAGCGCCGACGGTCGGCGGGCCTCTGCAGCATAATAGGCGGTGTCCCTGCGCCACTCGCGTGGGCACGGGGGACTGTGGCTCCGGCGGCGTCGGTGGCACACACAGGGGCCGGGGGCGCCACCTCGGTGGTGACCCCAGTCTGGGCGTCGTCGCTTGCCAGGCGCTGGGCAGGGTCGTGCAGCGGGCGCTTCGAGGCAGCCGCATTGTGGGGGGGTCACCGGCGGGAGAAGCGCGTGCCTGAGGCAGGCCACTCCCGCCGCGAGGGGCGATGCGGCTCGTCGCCTGGTGGGCCGCTGAGCGCAGGTGCCGGCTGCGCGCCACTGTCGCCGGCGGCGGCTGGTGCAGCGGGGGCCGCGGCCAATTCGGCCAGGTGCCAGCCAGCGGCAAGGCCCTGGGCAAAGGCTGCGGCCTCGGCCTGGACGCGGGCGCTGGCCTCGTCAGCGACGCCGCTGGGGCCGTCTGCTGGCAGCGGGCCGTCGAGGGCGACGCCCCACGGAGCGCAGCCCCCCTCTTGTGGGAGCAGGGTCGGCGGTCGTCATCAGGATGCTCACTCGGGGCGCTCCCTGAGGGCGTCGCCCGCAGTGGGGCTGGGCCGCGCGTGGAAGGGCGCCGACAGTCGGGGAGACGTAAGACTCGGGTACGGGGGACTCGGGTTGGCCCGACGGGACCATCGTAAAAATGACGAGGCCCAATCTGAAACTTGACGCGAGCTCCCGCTGCAAACATCCCACGAAAACTGGACCGTCAAAGTCCAGGACGCGATCGTCAAAAAAACGTCGGCAAACCCGAGTTCCGGCTTACTCGGGTCTTGCGTTCCCCCGAGACAGGACCCTGTCTGCGCGGCACCGTGGCGGGCTGCTGGGCGGGGGGCCCGGCACCGAGGGAGCGGGCGGTGCCCAGGTCCAGGCCGTTCGGGACGGCTTCTGCCAGGATCGGCGGCGACGGCGTCGGCCCTGACGTGGGCGCAGGCCCCGTTCGGCGACGTCGCTGGAGCCGTCGATCGGGCGACGCCCCCGGGAGCACTGCCCCCCATCGTGTGGGAGGGCTGTCGGCGGTCGCGGACGTCACGCTCGCACAGGACACTCTCTGGGAGGGGGCGGTGACTGTGGTTCCAGGCCCGGGCCTGGGCCAGGACGGGGAGCCGCGGCGGCTATACGCTGGCCGCGGCGTCGCTCCTGGGCGGGGGCGGCGGGGGCGCGCGGGAGCTGGGGCGCGCACGCGCGCACAGGGAGCCTGAAGCAGCACGCGCGGCCGAGCTGAGCTCACCCGCGGCTGCTGCCGGGGGCACGGCGCCCGTCGTGGCTGCGTCGGCCGTCGCGGCCGCGGCGCCACTCGGGGCGGGGGGCGGCGGGGGCGCGCGACGGCGGAGGCGCGCGCGGGGGGCTGGCAGCAGCACGCGAGGTAAGGCTGAGGTCGCCCATGTCCGCTGCTGGCCGCACAGCGCACGGGGCTGAGCGCACGGGACGAAGCCTTGGGTGGAAGTGAAGGGGGGCGGGGAGGGAGAGGCGGAGGGAGAGGAGCCGGGGAGGGAGGGAGGG